CTTTGTGACAGGGATAGGGGATCACACACACAGGGCATTTCTAGCATGTGTCTGTCTGGAGACAGCAGACTCCTGGGGAAGAAAGGAAGACATGAGCCCAGCAGGAGACAGGACTACTTTGCAGACCCAGATTAAAGGCATGTGCTCAGCAGCGATGTCCACAGGCATGAGCTTGCTTGTGAACACTGTGAGACACCAGGTGGGTCCCCCTGAGGGACATTTCAGAGCTTCTACAAATCTCGAAGTAAGTGAGGATACAAGAGTCAGAATGGTACTATGGATGTGACCCAATGCATGCCCATAGTCTGTGAGATCTGTATGACAAACAGCAAGAAAGAATTCTTGTACGAGGAGCCCGATGCCTACAAGAGCACAAAGTTGCAGAAAAGGAACAATAACTAACAGAGGGGCATCCGGGAGATTGTTAAGTAGAGGTAAAACACACAGCCTCACTCTGGAACTAAAACTTCACAATCTGAGTCAGGCAAATGGAGAAGAGTGGCCACCTGGGTGAATAACAAGAACAACATTCTCAGATACAGACCCTCTCAGAAAGCCGATCAGGTTCAGGTTTAAAATAGAAGACAAGTCAGTAGTGTGACTGGGCAGAGAGTGGCATATTACTACATGGGGTCAAATGGTGGGCATCCTTCTAGTGTCTCCCACCCCTCACAAGATAATAAGCACTCAATGAACATTTTCATCATACCCAAAGACAGTTTAGTGATTTCAGCATAGAAGTCACCATAGCAATGGAATTGTTTACAGGGAGGCTATTCCTAGCACAGTGGCCAAAAGGCTTTAAGTCCCTGTTCCAATGTAGCTTATTCCTAGTTTCCCAAATTACCTGGAAAAACAAGTGACCCATTTCTTATAACCCAAAAAGCTGCTTGGTGAGCATGGAAGTAAAGCAAAGGGAATACTGTGTCAACCCATGGAACAACCTGAGTACTCACCCCTGCTCAGTAGAAATCTGCTCCAGAGAAGGCATTGCTTGGGCTTCCAGATTCAGTTCTGCAACTCTATCATTCTCATTCCCACTCAGTTTCTGTTACGTCTAAAGTGTCTTTAACAGCCGTAAATGGCCTCATAAAATCATCAAAGCAAAACTGAATTTCATTCACTGTAATTAATGATGTATAGATGTGTACATTATTTAACACACTAAGCTGGTATCATTAGAGTTTTAGACCTCACACCGGTTGAAAATCACCAATCTGAGGCCCAAGTAGCAAAGTTCAATAACTGTTCATTGTCCTTGAGATGCATGTTGACCGTAGATTGGATTAGCAGTGCCTTTCACCTCTGGTGCTTGGTCTGAGTTTATCCATGGAGCCGAGGGTTCCATAGAAGGGAAGCAAGGGGACCATGAGACCCTTGAAAAGTTAGGAAATTTTGCGTAGAAATGCATATGTATATTTTATGTGAGGAAATTGTCTAGTTTTTATCAACTTCCCAAAATAATATGTAACTTAGACATATTGAAGAACAATTGCATGAACTTTTATCTTTATACTCATTCTAAAACCAAATAAGTGTTAAAAAATGTATTTCAGTGCATGCATACTACTACAAATATTTTTTTAAATGTCATTAATTTTTGAAAGCAATCATTTTTCTTGTCAAAATAGAGTTAGTCCTTGATAGTTAAACCTCATATCTGAAAGAAGAATGTCCGTGTTATTTTTCTACATGCCTTGGCTCAAATGAAATGTAAAAGGTACTTACTAAGCTGATTTGAGGTGAGCTTTACCGGGTACCTTGACTAAACGGTGGAAGTTTCTGAGGCCAATCTTGACAGTATTCTTTTCTCCTGCCTTTTTTCTTCAGGTTAGGTAATATTTCCATTTTTATAGTTTCACAGATTTGTGGGGGTTTTCCTTATTCTTGTACTATTATTTTGTACAGTTTTATTTAGTTGGTTGGGATTTTTTGGCTTATTTGTTTGCTTTTTAAGTCAAAGTCACACTCTGTAATTCAAGCTATAGTGCAATGGCATGATTAGAGCTAACCACAGCCTTGACCTCCTGGGCTCAGGCAATCCTCCCACCTCAGCATCCCAAGTAGCAGGGACTACAGGCACACACCGCCACATCCAGCTAACTTTTTTATTGTTTTGTAGTGATGAGGTCTCACTATGTTGCCTAGGTGGGTCTCGAACTCCTGGGTTCAAGCAATCCTCTCACCTAGGCCTCCCAAAGTACTGGGATTACAGGTGTGAGCCAATGCGTCCAGCCTTCCTGGTTGGTTTTTAACTGTTACAGTTTTTATAAGTCATATATCAATAGATAGAGTCACAGGTTGATTTTTCTTTTTGTTTTTTTTTGAGTTTGAGTCTTCGTCACCCTGGCTGGAGTGCCGTGGCACGCTCATGGCCACCCCAGCATTGACCTGCTGGGCTCTGGGATCCTTCTGCCTCAGCCTTCCAAGTAACTGGAACTACAGGTGCGCACTACCACGCCTGACTAATTTTTTTGTTTTTGTTTTTTTATAGAGACGGTTTCTCACCAAGTTGCCCAGGCCGATCTCAAATCTGTGGGCTCAGGCAATCTACTCGCCTTGGCCTTTTAAACTGCTAGGATTACAGGCTGAGCCACTGAGCCTGGCCACACAGGTTGATTCTTTATTCCCTTTATTCTTTTTCTTAAAAAGATTTTCCTTAACCTTTCTCTTATTTGACCTGTTGGTTTTCTGTGTTTTGATATTTGACTGATTTATAGATAGTGGACATTAACTAGGGGAGTTCCATTTTCTTAGTTTTAAGAAGTAAAGGTACTTCAAATTTTACTTCTTTTATATATTGATACGATAAAACTCCTTTTAAAATGAATTTCTATTGGAGTTCCTTGATAGAAGCCTCTAAAGATAAATCTTTCAAGATAAGAAACTCCAAGATGGAAGTCACACTGGCACACTGGGACTCCCGTCTCTCTTTTATAATGCTTCTGGTGCACTCTATAGGCTTTGGGATGCTAAGGAGATAAGTGCATTAGAAAAATTCTCCGATGGGAGAGAACTGTACTTATTTAACATATGCTCAAAAGGTAGCTCTTTGAGCTGACTTGAGATGGGACTTTTCCTGCTTTTAAAAAGACAGTTAAGGGCTCACAAATTCACTAGAGAACTTGAGAGTCAAAATGAACTGTGTTTCTCTGCATTATGCTCTGTATCCAAAAAGGCTGCAATTGCAAAAGGTTTGACAAAACCATCTGGAGGAAGGGGGAGGTTTGAGATGGGAAAGGAAATAGTTCTATCACCAAAAACATAGAATTTTTTTCTGAACTAATCAGTTAATTGTCACCAATTATCATCTTAATAGGTCTCTACAGTATTCACAAGTATGTCAATCCAACGTAGGAGTTGATCTTACTTGAATATATTTAAGTAAATGTGAGTAGATTGTGTCTGTTAAATTATAATTAAATCATTGAGAATCATTCTGAATTTTAAATCCAGAAGAGAATTTTTTAAAGAGACAGTTTATAGAGATCTACTTGACTGCTTCCTGATAGTAGGTGAGGTTTCATCTTTGATGGAGAACAGGACATCGAAATGTTGCATTTTCCCTCATGTGGTCATCATACTAAACAGTGAATTAAAACATCTTAATTTTAGTTCTGGCCTTGACACAAGCTAGACAATGTTGGACACGTAGCCTAACATGGCTTCACATTCCTAAAACTGAAAGCTGAATGATATTTTCTTTTCTTTTCTTTTTTTTCTGGCTGTATACCATTTTAAAACTCTAAAATGTCAGCAGTAGGAACCATCGTTCTTCTCTGAAATTCCCTTTTGCCCAACTTCAGAGCGGGCTTGGTGGGTGCTGAGGGTTTGGGGCTCTGCAGAATGCTGAACAAGTGCTCTCTCTGCTCTCTGACTCATTTTTAAACCTACAGATCCTTCTTATGACTTTAGAATTAGTTGTCATATGGCCAGGAACAAATAAATACAGCTGTCAGACCATGTCAGAAATCGTCTCAAGAGAATGGGGTTGTTTCACACAAATAAAAGGGTTCCTCTGGCGAGCATCAGATCAGTCACTTGTGGGACATTCACATTGGTCCAGATAAGGACGCAGGCTCACCACTTCACACCCATCCAACCAGCCCTGAGTAGTTGAGGCTGAGTCATGTGAACAGACAGGTTCTCACAGACTCGTCTTTCCCGTTTCAGTGGCTGTCTCCTTCACCCACCACATTCCAAAAGTCTGCATATTAGTGTGGCTGCTTTAGCTCAGCCAGGAAGGTTCATGTCATGGTAGAGAAATACTTTAAGTAACATTTTCTTTTCCCTAACTTCTAACATATGCTTTACTTCAACAGACTGATAAATCTACTTTCCTAGCCGGCCCAATTATTTGTAAACTAAGGAGCTGCTCACATACCTCACAGTCAATTTAACTGGGGCGTTTAGTTTATGAAAATGGAACTCATTATTTCAATTATTGCAAATGATTTAATTACTTGAGATCCATCTAAGCAAACTCTCTGTAATTAACTAGTGTTTATAACCCAAAGTAAAAATTGTGTGTGTATCTATTTAGTTGAACTAGACAGAAAGGGGCTACACGTGGAAGATTCATTTTCTTCCAATCAATGTTCTCCATCATCACTAAAAACAGAAAACATCCTTTAAAGTTTTGGCATTTTAAATAGAAGTGCTTATCACTGCATTTATCTTCAACCAAGGGACAGCGATCATTGAAGCCTCAGAATGTGACTTCAGAAACTTGCAATGTTTTCTGCAGACTCCCTATCTTGCTATCTACCAAAGAAAGATAAAAAACTAGGAATGGAAGGAAAGATGTTCCCTGTAGTCCTTGTTACTTGAGGATGAAGAATAGAGATTTTTATGGGGTGGATCACATGCATGAAACTCCAGGTTACATCAAAGAAAGTTCTACACACCTCAGGTGGAAGGGTTGGTGCTCACACCTTGTGTAAGGGAGGCACAGGAGGAGCCAGATGGTATTGGGACATCCTAGCCAATGTTTCCAGCCGACTTTATGTTCTTCCATTCTGGTAAACTAAGCTTGCTTAAGTTGCTTCAGAATTTGGAGAAGGAATTTTAGCTGGATAAAACATGTGAAAGACTTGTTTTTAAGCCTACAGATCCCTCTTCTGACTTTAGAATTCGTTTTTATGTTGCCAGAAAAAAATTTAATGCAGATGTTGGACCATGTCAGAAAGCTTGTCAAGAAAGTGGATTGTTTCACACAGAGTGGAGATGTGGCTTCTGATTCTGGTGGCGCATTTATTCCAAAGAGATGTGAATTCGGGACGTATGCCAACTAAAGCTGTGGATCCAGAAGCATTCATGAATGTTGTAAGTTGGGATTTTCCATGTTAATGTTTGCATCTGTGTACTATCTACATCATGTATTACATTTATATGTGATGATAATTCATGTGAGAAGAGCATAGTGATAGAGTAACATATATTCCTGAAAGAATGCTAAACTAGGGGGTCTGTGGACCTGGGTTCTCCTTGAATGACTTAATCCCTTTTGGCTTCTAAAACAATTTAACTTGTCCTCAGATTCTTAGGTTCATTCTATAGGCAGAGAAATAATTGATGTATTGGGGGTTAATTATTTCCATTGTGTCTGTGCTTTTTATTCTTTTTTTCACTTTCTCCACTGTTGAAAGGTGTCAGCCCTCACATCTTGCTATGAGGGCACCCACTTCTAGCAGCATGCTGTACCATTCTAGTCTACTCTTTTTATCCTCTTCTGGACTGATAACTCTGCCATTAAAAAAGACTCTGAGTGAGTGCTAGAGAGAGCCTTCTATGAGTAAAATGCACAAATATGTCTCTTTAGGTCTCCTAGAGAACTGGCAGGGGGCACTCTTACAAATTCTAAGCTGGGTTTTTGTAATGGCCACCAAAGAGTAACACTTATCTCATAGTAGGCATTATGATAAAAGCTGCAGAGATACTATTTTATTCCAACTTCACTGTCCTCTGCAGTAGATATGATCATTCACATGTTTCAGATCAACAAACTGAGATTAAAGAAGTTGAACGAGTTGAACAAGTCACTGGTGTATGGCAGAGCTACAATTTAAATTCAGGCCCGCCTAACACAAACCACCTAATTATAACCACTATACAATAAACCCTCCCAGCTGAGGAGGAGAGGTTACTTCCAGATGAGTAAGATGATTGTGTGTCGTGCCCATGCTCCGTAGACTTACCTAATAATGCGCAGAAAGTAGAACTTTAACATATGCTTATATAGGTTTATAACCCTTTTTACGGAAGCTACCTTATGTGGGTTCTAAAACTCTCACAGGCCATAGAAATACCCTGAATCTGCACCGTGCTAAATACCAGGTATCTTCTGACCATCTCAATGATTGGCCGTCTTTCGATGGGTTGTCCAGATAGTTGGCACGTGGTATAGAGCCTCAGAAGCCACCCTTCTGGCCTAGAGATAGTTCCACACAAATTTCTCTGGTTTTGAGGTAGAGGGAATCTCTTCAGCTGCAGACAGAGACACTCTTCCCAGGCCCTGACTACTGGATGTGCACAGCACCTCCATACTGTTGGGACTTCAGGAGCCTGAAGACTGAAATCCATTAACTGGGCTCCTTCATTGAGTGGATATGCCTGAAAAGGCAAAGTAAAATAGGAACTTCATATCATTATTGGTGTAAATGCAACAATATAGACTAAAAGTAGCTGAGAGTTCCAACTGATTTGACTCTGAAAACTGATAAATATGGAATATGGCTTATCCTGTACTTTGGGATACAACTGGCTTTATATGTATATATAGAAAGCTTACAGTCCAGCAGGAAGGACATACACTCAATTACAAATTACAAGAGTAATATCATCAAAGAAAGAAACATTAAACAGGGGGAACAATCCAGGAAGCTTAGGAAAGTTTTTCTGAAGAAAGGTGTCTTAGCCTGAAGTCTGATAAATGAACAGGAGTTGCTAGAGAGGATGATGGCCCAGAGGTCAGCACACGGGACAATGGGAGCAGGTAAGAACATGCCAGATTCAAGGAGCTGAAAGTAGCCTATATTTGGTTGGTCATTTAAACACTGATCTTTTTTCTATTACAAAAGTAATATGGGTTCATTATAGAAAACCTGAAAAAAAATTCATGGGCGAGGACAATGGTTCACCAATATACCCTGTATCCAGAACTAACCATTTTGTCATATGTCTCTATCCTCCTTCTAAATCTATGACTTTTTCTGTTTTCCAAAAAAAAGAATATCATGCATAATATACTGTCTTTTCATTTTTTTCTCCTTAACAGTACATATCATGAAGAATTTCCCAAGGGTTTATTTTTTGTTGTTTTTCGTTTTTTGTTGTTGTTGTCATTGTTGCTTTGGGTTGGAGTCTCACTCTGTTGCTCAGGTTGGAGTGCAGTGGCACGCACACGGCTACTGCATCTTCAGCATGCTGGGTTCAGGTGATCATTCTGCCTCAGTCTTCCAAGTAGATGAAACTACAGGCATGCATCATCACACCCAGCTAATTTTTTGATTTATTATAGAGATGAGGTCTCGCCAAGTTGCCCAGGCTGGTCTCAAACTCGTGGGCCCAGGCAGTCCTCTCACCTCGGCCTCCCAAAGTGCTGGAATTATAGGTGTGAGCCACCTTGCCTGGACCTCCCAAGGTTTTAAATAAGCCTTCTGTAACACTATTTCCACTTTCTGTATTACTTTTTTTTTTTTAGATAAATATTTGTCCCAGGTTGGATAGGCTCTGAGGCAGAACTTATATGCAGGATATTTATTAAGAAGACCCCTGAGGATCAGCACCTGTGGAACAGAAGGAGGGCAAGCAAGAATGAGGGAAAGGAGAAACCAAGTTGTGATGCAGACTCCAGGGCAGTCTCTGCCCTCCTCATAGGGGATGTGAAGCCAAAACAGCCCTTCAGAGTTGCCAGAAGTTGGGCTGAGACAACCAGGCCTTTAGACCTCTGTCAGTCATTGGAAGTGGCAGGAAGGGATGTGAACTTAGAGGAGGTGGCTCTCTACAGCTGAGGCCTCCCCTAAAGCAGGTTACAGCCAAGGGCTCTCTGCTGACAGCACTTTCAGTAGAGAGGGAAAGTCCCTCACTGAAGGAAGATCTAGAGAAGTTTCTCAGTGTCCACCACAATATTTATTGAAACTGTTCCCCAGTAGAATTTTATACTGTTATAAACAACACTGCAAAAAGTAACCTTACAGGTCTGTTTTGATACACATCTCTGATTTGTTCCTGAAGTTATGTTCTCAAGAATGGACAATTAAATTTTTAAAAATATTAAATACATTTGCAATTTGCCAATTTACAATAAAGTTAAAAAGTTAAACTGCCTGGGGAGGGGGGTGAGACTGGCAGTAGTAGGAAACTGCCGGGCGGAGGGCACACCTTATCAACAAAGGTACCTGCATAATGAACACTTGTATACCTAACCCTGAATTGTACCCCACAGCTTTAAAATAAAAAATTCAGGGTTAGGTATCCAAATGTCCATTATGTATGTACCCCCACATCTTTAAAAAATAAAATAAAAAGCTTTTAAAAGGTTAAATATTAGTAGTTCTAAAACATATATTTTGAAGAACTTCCCTCAAAAATGGTTATACAAATTTTAAATTTCATGGTAATACTTTAACCCATTTTTTTTTTGTTGGAGTCTCACTCTGTTGCACAGATTGGAGTGCAGTGGCACACTCATGGCCACCCCAGCATCAATCTGCTGGGCTCTGGCGATCCTTCTGTCTCAGCCTTCCAAGTAGCCGGAACTACAGGCGTGTGCTATCACGCCTGGCTATTTTTTTATTTATTGTAGAGAGAAGGTCTCATCAAGTTGCCTGGGCTAGTCCCAAACCCGCGAGCTCAGGCAATCCACTAGCCTCAGCCTCCCAAAGTGCTAGGATTACAGGCTGAGCCTTAGAACCCGGCCAACTTTATCCTTTTGAATACTTTGGGCCTGTATGATTCTGTCCACCAATTTATGTCTTACTATTATTCTGTACAAACACTTCTACCAAGTATAGTGTGTTGCCCATCTGTTACTTGTAGACAGTATTCACTACAGTTGTGGTATTTTTTCTTTTGGGGGTGTCTATACCCCTAGCCCTGCCTCCTCTGCTCTTTTGGGTAATTCTCACTCAATTGTCAAACCCCCGTTCAAATTTTTCTTTCTAAGACCCTACTTGACTAGCTCTGCTCATGGTGCTTTCTTTCCCTGCTCAGAAATGCTTTGCTCCTTCCTTCACTGATATATTACATGTATCCTCTCAATAAACACATATCAAATTTCCTCCATTCTCATGTCCACATACTCATCATATCTCTCCAAATAGTCTACAGTAGTGGTTCTTAAAGGATAGTGCTGAGATCAACAACTTCTGTATCACCTGAAAACTTGATAGACATGCCATTCTTTGGGTTAAACCCAGATCTACTATAGCTAAGCCTCTGAAAGTGGAGTCCAGCAATTTGGGTTTTAACAAGCCCTCTAATTAATGTGGTGCATGCTAAGATATGAGAACTACTGGTCTATAAATGTTTTAAGGTTAAATATACAATGATGCCACACACACACACACACACACACACACATATGGTGCGTGTACACACACACACACACACACACACCCCGCTGTATTCCCACACACACACACACACACACACACACCACTGCATTGTTGCCTATATAGGAGCTTGGTTAACTGGTTTTAATTACAGTGGGAGCCAGTTCCGGGCATTACAGTTAGTGTTATATGTGCATTATCTTTTTACAGCCTTTGCAAAAATTCCATGGAGTATAAACCACTGCTATCATAATTTACAGATGAATAAACTGAGGAATAGGGGCATTTCTATTCCTATTCCAAAAATATTTAATTAACAAAATTTCCCAGGATCATACAACTAATTTGTGTATTTAGTGTGGGAGCCAGGATTAAACCTCAAGTAGTGGGCGCCCCAGGTCTTTCTCTTAAAAACTATGTTTTTTATTTTTGGGGTTTTTTTTAGGTTGGGCATGGTGGCTCAGCCTGTAATCCCAGCACTTTGGGAGGCCAAGATGAGAGGATTGCCTCAGCCTGGGGGGTTCGAGACCAGCCTGGGAAACTTGGTGAGACCTCATCTCTACAATAAATCAAAAAAATTAGCCGGACGTGGTGCCGTGTATCTGTAGTTCCAGCTACTTGGAAGGCTGAGGTGGAAGGATTGCCTAAGTCCAGCAGGTCAAGGCTGCAGTGGCCATCAGTGTGTCATTGCCTCCAACCTGGGTGACAGCGTGAGACTCCAACTCAAAAAACAAAACAAAACAAAAACTATGCTTTTTTGCCCTATATTCAAACTGGGCATTTGACACAGGTTTTCTCCTCTCTTACTCTTCTTAAAGCATCTCCTGATATAAATAGTTTCCTCTTTCTCTGGGTGAGGACAGTAGGCAAAACAGTGCCTTGGAGATCTTTGCAGTTTCATATTTTCCAAAGAGTGTCTCCGTGTAACAACTGTATAGAGTAGGGATTCTTATCCAGGAGCTCCTAGATAGGCAACAAGAAATCTGAAACTCCTGAAATTGTGTGCAGTAATGCATTTGTGTGTCCTAGTACATATCAATTTTTATAGTTCTCCTCAAATTCACAGAGGGAACTTTAACCTAAAAATGTTAAGAATCAGTGCTCTTGAGTCTGTGGTTTTAGTACTGGAAAGAACCTTAGGAAATGTCTGGCCCAGGGATTCTCATAAGTTGTCCTGGAACTGGGGCCCCACTGGCTGCATTAAAACCACCTGATCTCTAACCTGAAGCATGCCCAAGGCTGTGTATGTGTAAGTGCCGATGATTCTGATGTGCATCCAGGTTTTGAAATCAGTGTTCTGGTTCAGTGATTTTCAAACATTAGAGTGCATCAGAATTCTCTAAAGAGCTTGGAACCTGATAATCGCATTTTTTTTTTAACTTGGAGTCTCACTCTGTCACACAGGCTGGAGAGCAATGGCACGCTCACAGTCACCCCAGTGTCAACCTGCTGGGCTCCGGCGATCCTTCTGCCTCAGCCTTCCAAGTAGCTGGAGCTGCAAGCGCACACTACCATGCCTGGATAATTTGATTCATTGTAGAGATGAGGTCTCGTCAAGTAGCCCAGGCTATTCTTGAACCCATGGGCTCAGGCAATCCCCTCACCTTGGCCTCCCAAAGTGCTGGGATTACAGACTTGCGTCACCACGCCTGGCCGATAATCTGTATTTCTCACAGATTAACCCAAATGATGTTGAAGTTTTTGGTCCAGGGCCAGCACTTTGAGAATCATCTAGTCCATTCTCTATATTAAAGATAAAGAAAGAGAGCAGTGGTGAAGCTTGGATGATTCTTCCAAGGTAACGTGGTTATCTAGAGAAAAGCAAGAACTTTCTTACCCATGTCTTACAGCATCAAGGAATCTGCTCTTACATTTGCATCACTGAGAATACAGTGATATAAAATCAAACTCAAAAAAATTTGTGTTTTTTATTTTCCATAGAGCGAAATAATCCGACATCAAGGCTATCCCTGTGAGGATTATGAAGTCACAACCGAAGATGGGTATATTCTTTCTGTTAACAGAATTCCTCAAGGTGTCATGAAACTTAAGAAAACAGGTATATTTCACCCTATGTCACCCCAACACGGCAATCTTCCACACAGTCATGACTTCGTATGATTTGAGGGTAGAAGAGGGTCTGAGTTCTTAGTTCAGACCTGGATCCATTGTTGGGGTCAAAGAATGGTGTCAGTTCCCCTATACTCTCCATCACCACCACCCTATCCCACTCCATCCTCACCTATTATCTCAACTAAACATACAGTGTTTGCTTTTCCAGAAATGCTTAAAAGAAAGTCCATTTCTTGGCTCCTTCTAATGCTTAACTCATTTCCCAAACCCCTCCTATATAGATATTCTAGAACATTTGCTGATAATTCCTTGAGCAGATCCCAGCAACCTTTGCTCACAAAGAATTCAAACATCCGTATGGCACCTGGTGCCCACCCCTGTACACTCTGTATTCCAAAAAGCACTTAAAATATTTAAGTTGTTGCCTGGCTGTTCACAAATGGGCTTTAAAAAAACAACAAACAAACAAACAAAAAACAGGTTTTATATGTACATCTTAAATGTTTTTTATTTTTATTTTTTATTTTAAAGATGTGGGATACAGGCCGGGTTCAGTGGCTCAGCCTGTAATCCCAGCACTAGGGAGGCCGAGGGGAGTGGATCGCCTGAGGGTTTGAGACCAGCCCAGGCAATTTGGTGAGACCTCGTCTCTACAATAAATTACAAAAATAGCCAAGCATGGTAGCGCACGCCTGTAGTTCTGGCTACTTGGAAGGCTGAGGTGGAAGGATTGCCGGAGCCCAGCGGGTCGATGCTGGGGTGGCCGTGAGCGTGCCACTGCACTCCAGCCTGGGTGACGGAGTGAGAAAAAAAAAATTCATCTTCATTCCTAAAGTATGCCCATCTTCCCTTTCTATTTGACTGGCTTCCTTTTGATACTCTTTCTATTTATACTGTAGCAGCTACATTATCTGTCATGACTACAGATAATTCCCTGTGTTTGTTCTACATGCCAAGTATAATGCTAAGTGCTTTCCTTGCATTTAATTTTCACAGTAACCCTAAGAAACTGCTACTCCCAGAGGTTAAGTCATTTGCCCAGAAAGTCTGTGCTGGTACTTGCTAGCAGATTGCAAAACTGCCCTCAAATCAAAATCTGTCTGCCATGACAGCCCACGTTCTTAACCAGGACCAGAAAATACTGGACAAATGATTTTGGTCTTTGATATGAAGAAGCTGCGGGGTTCTGCTTTACTGCAGCTTGCACTTGTCTGGCTGTTTTGCAAACCAGCTTTTATTCACATTAGCTGCACAGTTGTGTCCAGCATGCTCCCAGTTCCATGCCTTTGAACTTGCGGTTGTCCCTCTGGGTTCTGTCATCAGATGTCTATGCAGCTTGCCCCAGCCCTTCTTCCAGGTCTTCTTTATCAGGAAGTCCTTCCCTGACCACCCTATTCAAAACAGCAGCCCTTTACCATGCAGTGGGGTCTAGCCACTTACACTGCTTGCTTTTCCACACAACACCTAATGCCGCCTGATGGTCTATTGTCTATCTCCCCATAACCAGAGTGTAAACTCAATGGGAGCAGAGACTTCATCTATTTTAAGGCTATATCCAATGGTTAAACGAATGCCCAGCGCATGCTAGGTGCTAATAAGTATTTGCAGAATGAAGGTCTAAGTTTTGTATAAATAAATGAATAGCCTGGTGACACATTGAAAAGTTATCACTAACCCCCACATGTTCTAGAGGGGTGGGTACGGCAATGCCCATTTCCCCTTTCTATTTGGCTGGCTTTCTTTTGATACTCTTTCTGTTTATATTGCAGCAGCTACATTGTCTGTCATGACTACAGATAATTCCCTGTGTTTATTCTACAAGCCAAGTATAATGCTAAGTGCTTTCCTTGCATTGACCTCTTCCAAGCAGTCGAGTGACTGCAGCAATTACTAAGCGTGAGGGTCACCTGCAGCCCCTAACTCATGATGGAGTTTGTTTTCTTATATCTGACTCAGACTGTTCTCTCATTGCCCAGAGGAATCTGGGGCTCAAGGAATCAGCCATTTTGGTCCGGTCGGTGCTGAATACTGCCCTCTAGTGTCTGAGGTTGTTCCTGCAGCTCCCACTAGCTTCAAGGAGGCTATCTCCCAGGGTAGAAGGAAAAAAGATTTCTCACCATCTCTTCAAAAAGGTCAATGAAATTCACACTAAAAACAACTGAAAAAAAATGTTTACCGAAATCTAATAGATGGCTATAAAAGCCTTATGTTTATAAAATCATAGCAGTTGACTTCAAATATGTACATCAAGAGACAGGCCATCCTAGGCTAGGCCATCCTCAGAAACGACAACTTTTTAAAGTGAAGCCCTTACACAACTCACCTGCTGGCTATAACTTATATGAAGAGCCATGGCTCTAGAGAATGTTTGAAATGATATAAATGGGCTAGTCCTCTTTCTGGGTGAACCACAACTACAAAACGTACTGCTAAGTAGAACCAAGCTGACCCCAACCCAAAGGTTCCAAAGACTCTCAAGGGAAGCATTGAGCACCTTGGTTTGATCATCCTGTGTTAACACAACTGAGGTCAACTCCCTGAGAGCTAAAGAGGATAATTCACTCAATGACTAGACATTAAAGGAAAACTAAAATAGCACTGAGTTCCTTTCTCCAAACCCTGTACTCGCTGTCCTCTGTGACCTACACATTCTTACTCCAGAGAGATGAAATGGGTGGCAGTTGGAGTTTGTGAAGACTGTCCAGACACGGATGAGTTTGTTGTAGAAAGGTTTTTGTCCTACGGGGAGACTGCATACGAATTCGGTGCCCTTTAATAAAAGTAATAACAAGAGCTACTCATCTGGTAAGAGGCCAGGCAACATGCTGAGGGCTTAATGAGAGGTATCTCATGTAACCCCCCACCACCTTGTGGGGTGGGCAATTGCATCCTTATTTTATTAATGAGGAGACTGAAGTGCAGAGTGTTGCTTGCTTTAGAGGGCTAGAACAATAACAATGGCAACAAAAAAGCTGTTTTTTTTTTTCTTTTACTACAGGCTTTCTCTAAGCCAGGTGCTGTGGTATGGACATTGCATTCATGATTTGATTTAATTCTCACAAGTCCTATCGAGGGCATGGTTATTTTCCTCCTAATACTGCAGCATTTTATTAATCTTTCGGTCGTCCAAGTGCAGTGGCTCAAGCCTGTAATCCCAGCACTTTGGAAGGCCGAAGGGTGTGAGTTGCCTGAGCCCGAGGGTTCGAGACCAGTCCGGGCAACTTGGGGAGACCGTGTCTCTATAATAAACCAAAAATTAGTTGGGTGTGGTAGCGCACACCTGTAGTTCAGGCTTCTTGGAAAGCTGAGACGGAAGGATCGCCAGAGTCCAGCAGTCGACGCTGGGGTAGCCATGATTGTGCCACTGCACTCCAGCCTGGGCGATGGAGTGAGACTCTGACTCAAAAAAAAAAAAAAAGACATATATTCCTTCATTTATTTAACACATTAGGATTTTAAAACTTTAACCCTTTTTAGCCCCTACTGATAATCTTATAACATCTAATTTTGATATAATTTTAAACTTATGAAAGAGTTCTGGGAATAGGACAAGGAACTGGCATATACCTTTTACCCTGATTTATCAATTATTTATATTTCCCCATTTTTATACTTCTTTCTCTCATTCCCCCATCTCATAGGTATATTTCATTACTTTTTCCAAAATATTTGACAGTAAATATGAGACATCATTCCCATTTACCTGTAAATACTTCAGTGAGTATTCCCTAAGAACAAGGATATTCTCTTCTATAGCTGCAATACATTTATCAAAATTAGTAAATGAATACTGATTGATATGAATATCTAATCCATAGTCTAGGTGAAAATTTTGAATATTGTCCCAAAATACTTCATAGTCATTTTTCCTGCCCCTGGTCAATAGTCTAATCCAGGATCATATACCCCATTTGATTGTCATGTCTGTCTCCTTTAAAAACAAATAATTCCTAAGGTTTTCTTTGTTTTTTCTATCTTGACATTTTGAAGAGTTTGGGACAGATATTTTGATTTGATTTGTCTCATTTTTTTTTTCACTATGTGATTCAGTTTATACACTTCTCGCAGGAATAACAAAAAAGTGAAATCGTGTTCTTCATGACACATCATATTCTGAAGCATATGATGTTGACTTATTCTAAGATTGGTGATAATTACCTTTGGTAATTTTATTAAGAAGGAATTTGCTGGGTTTTTATAAAGTTGGTATTTTTCCCTCTGTATTCAATAAATAATTTGTGGGAAGATACTTTCAGGGTATATAAATATTCTGTTTGCCTTCAAGCTTTCACCCACTGATTTTAGCATTCATTGATAATTTTTATCATTCTGTATTTATTCATTGGCACTATACTATAAATAAGAGCTTTTCCTTCTCTCCTAGTGATATGTGTGCTCACTTTTTGATTGACATCTATGTGGATTCAAGCATTCTTAATTTATTCATTGGCATATAATTCATTATTTTGATGTTCAAATATTCCTGCGTTTGAGCAATGGGAACTCCTTCAAGCTGGCTTGAGTGCCCTTTTGACGTGAAGTTCTCTTAACCATTAGTCTGTTATGTATATGGTATATATCTTAATCATTATACGATACCATATCCTGGGACACTTCCAATATTTTCTGAAGAGCCCAAACAAGTCCAAGAATTATAATTGCACAAAAACAACAATGGAAGATGCATTTTATAGATTCTTTCTTTGTGTGCCAAGCGGTGTGCCATCTGTTTCTTTGTTTTAATCATAACAAAAATCCCATTTTACAGATGAGATAATCAAGATACAATAAAAGGCTAAGTGATTGGCCAAGATAATTAACGAGCAAACAGCTGAATGAAGATTTGAACATGAATTTGTCTGACTTGAAGGCCTCGCTGCATTAGTGGATAACAAGAAAAGTAGAGAGTATTTTGTATAGTTAAAAGTTTCTCTTTTTTTTTTCAGGTTCCAGGCCCGTGGTGTTATTGCAGCATGGCCTGGTTGGAGATGCTAGTAACTGGATTTCCAACCTGCCAAACAATAGCCTGGGCTTCATTCTGGCAGATGCTGGTTTCGACGTGTGGATGGGGAACAGTAGAGGAAACACCTGGTCTCGAAAACACAAGACCCTTTCTGTAGATCAAGATGAGTTCTGGGCTTTCAGGTACATGAAAATTTTGAAAGTGGAGGTGGACATGGATGTCTTTCAGAGACTGGGTAAAGAACTATGGCTTCTAGTATCTGGTTAATTTATTTTGGTTGGGTAATTATTATCCTAACACCATATCTTCCAATTTTCTTAATTAACTAGCAATTCTTGGGAGGAAGTCATGGGGAGTATTGGACTCTCTAAGTAGGTTAGATCTGGCAAATTAAGTGAGAATGGTGGTTGGTGTCAGGTGATTGAGACTGGAATCAGAGAAGTGTTGGGCCATTTTCTTGTAGGGGAATAATAGTATAATAGTATTCCAGGCCAGGCGTGGTGGCTTATGCCTATAATCCCAGCACTTTGGAAGGCCGAGATGAGAGGATTGCCTGAGCCCATGGGTTCGAGACCAGCCTGGGCAACTTGGCAAGACCTCATCTCTACAATAAATAAATAAAACTAGCCGGGCGTGGTAGCTCAGGCATTTGTAGTTCCAGCTACTTGGAAGGCTGAGGCAAAAGGATCACCTGAGCCCAGCAAATCCAGGCTGTGGTGACCTTGAGTGTGCCACTGCACTCCAGCCTTGGCGATAGAGTGAGACTCCAACTCAAAAAAATAGTTTCTCTTATCTTTTAATACTGCCTGGTCTCATCTCCTTCTGAAGTATTATTATTATTATTTTTGAGTTGGAGTCTCACTCTGTCCACCTGGGGAAGGGGGGGCACGCCTCATCAATAAGGGTACCCGCACAATGAATATTTGTATACCTAACCCTGAATTGTACCCCACAATTTCAAAATAAAAATTAAAAGAGAAAAAAAAATAAGGAAACTATTAAGCCAGGAATCGTCAATTTGGCTAAGCACCTCTCATGCTCTTACAAAGGATGTTTAATGTTTTTACTTAAATTACCTATTGACATTCAACTTACTCTTTATACTCATCAGACAAGGGTCCCTGCAGCATCTTTAATATTTTTCCTGTAAATGAATCTGTAGATTTTCCTGTAAATGAAGCATGTCCTGTGCTGTCCTGCTAACAGTATAATGGGACACCTCCAGTAGGAAGTGGGTGATGAGCTCAGTAAATATCCACAGAAGATGATTATCACTCTGAAGGGTATGGTCACAAGCCATTAGGGTTTATCAACGCAAGAGCATGCTTGTAAAACCTGGGGAAATGCTTTCATTTGTTCCTGATTATAATTTTTCTATAACTTTGTCTTTTCCCCTTGTAGTTATGATGAGATGGCTAGGTTTGACCTTCCTGCAGTGATAAGCTTTATTTTGCAGAAAACGGGCCAGGAAAAGATCTATTATGTCGGCTATTCACAGGGCACCACCATGGGTAGGTTCAAACAAAAGCAGGTTTGTATACTCAGATGAACTGTGAGCATATGGTACAAGCTGTGCCTGGAATCAGGCACCCCAAGACTGGCCTTATCATCTTCAGTACTGTAATGGCCCCCAGCAATGTGAGGCTGAGGTGAGAGGATCACTGGAGGCCAGGAGTTTGAGACCAGCCTAGGTAACATAGTGAGATTTCTTCTCTACAAAAAATAAAAAATAAATTAGTCAGGTGTGGTAGTATGTACCTATAGTCCTAGCTACTTGGGAGGCTGAGGTGAGAAGATTGCTTGAGTCCAGAAGATCAAGTCTGCGGTGAGCTGTGATTGTGCCACGGCACTCTACCTTGGGTGACAAAGTGAGACCCGATTCAAAAAAAGAAAGAAAATATGTTGGATGTGATAGAGACCACAAAGGAGTTTTTCCTGCCCCCACCCCTGGGACCTTTAATTTTACAGGAGAGTTAAAACACAGCCACAAAATTACTGAAATATCTTGATGAACGTAGAACACACATTTCATGAAGTCTAAGATGTTCAGTATCCATGCTGACATATTTCTTCTCTCACAGGCTTTATTGCATTTTCTACCATGCCAGAGCTGGCTCAGAAAATCAAATTGTATTTTGCTTTAGCACCCATAGCCACTGTTAAACATGCAAAAAGTCCTGGGGCCAAATTTTTGTTGCTGCCAGATATGATGATCAAGGTAGGTGTCGCCTTAGAAAATTCCCCGAGCACGTAGAAAAATCTTCCAGCCCAATTTACTAAAACATTTCATTTGAAATTAGTGCCTCCCTTTTCTGACTGTCGTGTTGTAACCACTATTTTGCTTCATACTTTTACAGGGATTGTTTGGCAGACAAGAATGTCTGTACCAGACCCGATTTCTCAGACAGTTTGTTATTTTCCTTTGTGGGCAGATGATTATCGATCAGATCTGTGGTAATATCATGTTGCTTTTGGGCGGATTCAACACCAGCAATATGAATATGGTAAGTAAAAGCCTCGTTAATTCCCAGTGTTCCCAGTACACTGGGTTGTTTGTCTTATTCCTTGAGGGAGAGCTAAAGCAAGTAAAGACTTAGAAGAATAATGTATTCTTAGTAATTCAGTGATTTCCAAACTGTAAGGAAAAGAGGGAAATGTTGGCCAGGCATGGTGGCACATGCCTGTAGTCCCAGCTACTCAGGAGGCAGAGGCAGGGGGATCGCTTGAGCCCAGGAGATCGAGGCTGCAGTGAGCCATGATCATGCCACTGTGTTACAGCCTGGGTGACAGAGCGAGATCTCTTATCTTTAAAAAATTAACAAATTAGCTGGACATGGTGGCATGTGCCTATAGTCCCAGCTACTCAGGAGGTTGAGGTGGGAGGATCATTTGAGCGTAGGAGCTCAAGGCTGCAGTG